TCTTGTTAATCTTTAATAAAAAAAATTTTAGCACCATAATTTCTTCCTATTTTAAAGATATAATCTGCCTGATTTCTTTTGGCAGGGGAGAGAATGGCATAAGACAAAAGATTTGGGAGATAGGGTAATTCTGGTGACATCTTGGAGAGATAGCTGTTGAACTTGGTAACTCTCTAGGTTAGAGTGAGGAAGGAAGGAGAGGGTTGAGAAGAGCAATAATATTTATGAGGTGGTCATAAATACGGCAAATTAGTAACCATTGCCTGACGTAGGATTTGCTCTTTTTTGACGAGTCTAATAATAGGCTCAGGAGTTTCTTATAGAGTCAACTCTCCAGTAGTCTTATTCTGGATTTCTGAAACTTCTGTGAAAAAGAAGATAACCTTTGACTTGTGGTGTTGAGTACGGAGGTTTAAGGGCACCTATAAAATTACGGAGGTTTCCAAAGGTCAGGGTTGTTTATGAAATCCGAGTGTAAAGGGGGGCGCTCAGCGAGCTTTTCATAGTTTGTTTTATTGAAAGTTAGAATTAGGGCTGTGCACCTGTAGCTCAGCGGCTAGGGCGTCAGCCACATGCACCGGAGCTGGTGGGTTTGAACCCAGCCTGGGCCTCCCAAACAACAATGACAACTGCACCACAACAACAAAAAATAGCGGGGCATTGTGGTGGGTGCTTGTAGTCCCAGCTACTTGGGAGGCTGAGGCAAGAGAATTGCTTACGATGGAGAGTTTGAGGTTGCTGTGAACTGTGATGTCATATCACTCTACCAAGGGCAACATAGTAAGACTCTGTCTCAAAAAAGAAAAAAAAAAGTAAAATTAGAATTGGTTTGTGAGCCTGGACAACATAAACAGAGCTCTTCTGGACACACACACACACGCAAAATAGCATTTGTGCACTTGATCTTTCAAGTAAGAATTTCCTATGTGTTTGAAAGACCATTTTGTACTTACACTTGACGCTTTTGACTGACAACCTATACATAGACTAGATTTTCAAAGGTACTTTTACCAAATTTCATCTTGTCAGACTTGCTCACTCAAATTACCTGTATAGAGGCTTAACTGTGTCAGAAGTTACTGGGACTGAGGAGGGCGTGGTAGCATGCTGCTTTTGTCTCAGCAAATCACAGTGACATCATTAGCACCAAATCCTCAAAGGCAGGAGCAAGTTTACATGTTTACATTTTAATCTGTAAAGCGTCTTTAAGTTTTGTTTCAGTAACATCTCCAAGCCTTCCTCTACTAGGAAGACTACAAGCTGAATGAGATCAGCAAAAGGGGTGTGGAACATGTAGATAAGGCGCAATGACTGCTGGTCATTTGTAATGTAGGCCCTATGTTACCTACGATTTTGACATATCAAGATATACAAAATTATTGTTGCTGGTAATTACAGTTGGAAAGTTTTCATTTCAGAAACGAGTTGCTTAATGAACCGCATGAGAAAAATGACCCTAATTAAGAGTGGTTTTAATCTAAAGGTGTTGGACCTGGCAGGATCACTAACTCATACTTACCTGGCAGGGGAGATACCATGATCATGAAGGTGGTTTTCCCAGGGTGAGGCTCATCCATTGCACTCCGGCTGTGCTGACCCCTGTGATTTCCCCAAATGTGGGAAACTCAACTGCATAATTTGTGGTAGTGGGGGACTGCGTTCGCGCTATCCCCTGGTTTTGCCTGTGAAAAAATAAAGGTTTGGTTTTTTTGTCCTATTGTAGTTGACTAGGCGTATTTCTTTCACTTTCTGTTTTATTTTTGGGTTATCTTTAAGCGATTTGTTACTTATGGTGGTTGTCTTGCCTCAGCCCACCTGAGTAGGTGAGATTGCAGATATCTACCAGAGCACCCAGCTTTTTTTTGTTGTTGCAATTTGGCTGGAGGCAGGTTCGAATCCACCACTTCAGTATAGGGGGCTGGCACCCTCCCCACTCAGGCCACTAATGCACCACCCTCAGGGAAATTTTTTCTTATCTTCCTTCAAACTTCCTACTTATCTTAGTTTCCATTGTCCATAATTGTATATTTTTATGTATACATGCTGTTTATTTATCTCCTAGTTATGGATGGGACTCTGGTATTTGAGTGAGACAATGATCTCCAGCAGGTAGGGTTTTAAAGCCAAGACTGAATATATGGGATTAGTTTGTTTCTCTACCATGGAATCCAATACATATTCCTTACAACCCCTTTCCCCATTAGATAGTTCTGTAAATGGTTACCACAGAATTAGTGACTTAAAGCTACACAAAGTGTTTTAACGTTTAAAGCACTCAGAAGTTTAGGGGGTGTTCTTCAGGAGACTGGAGGGGAAGTTCAAGAGGCAGCCTACATTCCTTGTTTGTGACCCCTTTCCTCCATTTTCAAAGCCACTCCAATTCCTCAGGGGCTTTTGATATCCCCAAAAGGGACTTGGGGTATGTAGATGAGTATGGTGTTTTCTGGTCTTATGCACACTATACTACGTATGGTAGGATTTTACAACTATTCTAGGTCCAAAATGTTGTCTGGCTGTTATAATTTGGAAATGTCTTTAAGTTGTGACAGGCTAGGACTTGTGCAAGGAGATCAACCCTATATGTGATGTGTTTGGAATCTGAGGGTCAGATGCCATGCTGTGGGTACAGCTCATATTTACCTGGCAGGGGAGATGCCATGATCACAAATGTTCCAGGGTGTGGTTCATCTGTTGCACTCCAGAAGTGGAAAACTTGACTGCATGATTTGTGGTAGTGGAGGCATGTATTTGTGCTATTTCTTGTCTTCCTTAAAGACAGATACTACTGCCTTTTTAGTCTTGTACTCTGAACTGTAAACTATGATCTGAAAGTTTGCTCAGGCTGGTCTCAAACCTGTGAGCTCAGGCAATCCACCTGCCTTGGCCTCCCAAGTGCTAGGATTACAGGTGTGAGCTACTGTGCCCAGCCATACCTCAGGATTTTTTAATCTGAAGTGGGAATGATTCTACTTCCTATCTGAAAATTGTGAGGATTAAGTGTAAAGTTTAGGGGCCACAGTAAGCATTCAATAGATGTTACCGGTTAGTATTTCTTGATTTGCTTTGGGGCAGTGATCTTCAACTAGTGTACCGCGGCACACTGGTGTGCCATGAAAAAGTTTTAAGGATCATTAATTAAATATTTTTGGAAGAAGTTCAAAGCACAGTGAGTGTATTCTTTTTTTTTGGCGGGGGCTGGGTTTGAACCTGTTACCTCCAGTATATGGGGCCACCACCCTACACTGTTGAGCCACAGGTGTTGCCCCATATTCTTTTTTTTTTTACTCTGTATCTCTTTTTTTTTTTTTTTGAGACAGCCTCAAGCTGTCACCTTGGGTAGAGTCTGTGGCATCACAGCTCACAGCAACCTCCAACTCCTGGGCTCAAGTGATTCTCTTGCCTCCGCCTCCCTAGTAGCTGGGATTACAGGTGCCTGACACAACATCCAGCTATTTTTTGGTTGCAGCCCTCATTGTTTGAGGTGGCCTGGGCTGGATTTGAACGCGCCAGCTCTGGTGTATGTGGCTGGCACTTTAGCCGCTTGAGCCACAGGTGCTGAGCCTTTTTTTTTTTTTGAGACAGAGCCTCAAGCTGTCCCCCTGGGTAGAGTGACATGGCTTCATTGCTCACAGCAACCTCCAACTCCTGGGCTCAAGCGAGTCTCCTGCCTCAGCCTCCCAAATAGCTGGGACCACAGGTGCCCACCCCAACACTCAGCTATTTTTTGGTTGCAGCCATTATTGTTGTTTGGCGGGCCCGAGCTGGATTCGAACCCACCACCTTAGGTGTACGTGGCTGGCGCCTTAGCCACTTAAGCCACGGGCCCCTAGCCAGACGCTGAGCCTTTTACTCTGTTTTTTGATCAACATAATTTATGCTGTGGAGGTTTAACAGTAGGTTCACCTGTGCGGTGAGATAAAAAAAAGGTTGAAAACACTGCTTTAGGGTTTTTCCTGGGTTGCCTGACTTATGTTACAATTATGGTTTAGGGTGTTGCTTTTGCTAATTTATTTGGTTTAATCCTCACAAGAAGGTCAGTCTGCATATTTCACAAACTGAGGAACAAATTAAGAGGCTAGAAGCTAATCTAAAGTAGCAAAGTGTGACACTGGATTGCAGCCTATTTATCTTGGATCCCAAAATCCTCACTTTGCAATACTCCAACCACACTAGAAGCACTGCTCCCCCTCTTGGAATAGGAGGAAACAGTGCTGGGCTGGAGTGGAGACTAAGAAGTTAAAAAGTTGGCTTGTGATGAAAAGCTCATTCAGTTCCATTTGCTGAAGGGAACACTCTACATGGGGAGATACAAAATCCTTCAGGTACACCAAAAGTTGGGAGACAGTAGACTTTTGTCATGAAAATCGGCTGACGGATGTCACCTAGCAGGTGGAAAGAGGAGGAACTAGTGGTTGGAAGTCCTCCTGAGGGTGTGATGCAGTGGGTTGAAGGGAATGTAGCTGCCAGGACAGCAGGTATACGTTGGGAGGTGGAGTATGTTCTTTGGAGTGTGTAGATTGACGATTCAGTGCCTTTTGGAAGTGTGTTCTGGCTCAGCGCTTGTAGCTCAAGCGGCTAAGGCGCCAGCCACATACACCAGAGCTGGCAGGTTCGAATCTAGCCCAGGCCTGCCAAACAACAATGAAAACTACAACCAAAAAATATCCAGACATTGTGGCAGGCACTTGCAGTCCCAGCTACTTGGGAGGCCGAGGCAAGAGAATTGTTTAAGCTCAGGAGTTTGAGGTTGCTGTGAGTTGTGATGCCACAGCACTATGCCAAGGGAGACAGCTTGAGGCTCTGTCTCAAAAAAAGAAAAAGGAAGTGCGTTCTTTGGAAAGATACGCACCTCATCTCATCACTAATATTAAGATACTGTACCAAATACTATTTTTCTTTGTTTGCAATAAGTGGATAAAGTCCAGAGTCATTTTAGGAGTGACCCAGAGCTTAATAGTGATGTGCACTGCACCATGTTTTGCTGGGGTCAGACTTGAATTATACTTACCTGGCAGAGGAGAAGCCGTGATGATGAAGGTGGTTTTCCCAGGTTAAAGCTTCTCCATGACATGTGAATGTGCTGATGTCTGTGGTTTCCCGAATGCGGGAAACTCTACTGCATAATTTGTGGTAGAGGGGGACTGCATTCGCACTATCTCGTGGTTCTGGTTATAGGTTTTGCAAGGGTTAGTTGAATTTTGTTTTCTTTTTTTAACAGAGAACTAGGTGATGGTATGTGTTTTCGGGTGCTGGCCGTGGTAAATAAACCATGATGTTCTGGGTGGCTCCTGTGGCTCAAAAGGGTAGGGCGCTGGTCCCATATGCCAGAGGTGGTGGGTTCAAACCCAGCCCGGCCAAAAAATGGCAAAAATAAATAAAGCTTATCTTAAAATAAATCATGATATTCAAATCAATGTCAGTTGTCATTTTCCCTTCGGTTGCTGATCCTGCTCAATGCTTGTAGTCCAGTGCTATTTACATTACAGTGTATTGAACAAAACTTGTTGTAACTTTTACTTAGTGCTTTATTTTTAAAAAAGTTTCCATCCTTGATATGTTACTTCCTGCTGGTCCTAGAATGCCCTGCCCTCCCTGGTACTTCAACTCTTTCTCTTGTGAAATACCTTGCTATCCACCCAAGTTGCCCCTAAAGCCAGGGTGGATTTACTTATTCGTTATGTATGTACCCCAGGCGCAGTGCTGCCTCAGACACTTAATCTCTTTTAAAATGAGGGGAAAGGGCAGCACCTGTGGCTCAGTGAGTAGGGCGCTGGCACCATATACCGAGGGTGGCAGGTTCAAACCCGGCACCAGCCAAACTGCAACAAAAAATAACCAGGCGCTGTGGCAGGTGCCTGTTGTCCCAGCTACTCGGGAGACCTCTGAGGCAAGAGAATCGCTTAAGCCCAAGAGCTGGAGATTGCTGTGAGCTGTGACAGCAGAGTTCTCTACCTTGGGTGACAAAGTGACTCTGTCTCCAAAAAAAAAAAGCCCAGTGAAATGCTTGAAAAATTTTCAGCTGATACAGGAATATCATGATCATTACCAATGGCATTATCACTTTGTTTAAAATCATTACAAAGTAACTTGGAAAAAGGACTGCCATCATACTTGCTGAGATAATAT